TATTATTAAGCTTTGCTGAAAGAAAAAAACAAGTACATTTTCAATGTTGTGCATGAAATATGCAACTGTTGTGTTGAAGTTTAGCATACATATAGCAATAACGAGCCTAGTACAACTATTATGTACGAGAAACTCAGTATTTAATATCGATAATTCATTATTATTATTATACATACACTATACTGCACGCTTTACTATAAATATATTACGGTGTATTTGTTGATGTAAAGCACGATCGCACATGAAGTAGAGCACAAGCATGGTCATGTAAATAACACGGTTTATGTCGATAAATATACGTAATGAACATTGAAATAATTCGCTACGTAATGCATGTAAATTATAATTATTTTATAAAAAAAAAGGTACGTATTTTTTTATTAATATTTTTCCATTGCTTGCGTTCTAGGATTGTCTACGACAATGGGGCAGCTATTTCTTTAAAATCGAGAGGATATTATTTCGAAATGTTAAAAGGTTCACTAATTATTGCTTTGCAAACACATTCTTTAAGACTAATCCGCTTTAAATAAAAAGAAGGAGGAAAAACGAAAAAAAAAGCATATATATGCATGTACAAAGAAAATATGCAATACGATTGTTATTGTATATCGGGCAATTATTGGTGAATCATTTAAATTGAGATTGTCCATGCGTAAAGGACAAATTTTTATTGTATTCCTACTGATTCCAGTTATTTGCTGATGAACAAAAAGAAATTGTTTAAAATTATGTTGTGTGGTATTGCATCACAAAGTTCGACAATATGTAAATAGATCGAATTATGCTCATATTAAATGTGCCATCTTATCAGTGTTAGAAAGTACTGAAAAAGGAACTGCGACATATAATTTATATATACAAGCTTCCCAGGTGTATGCATTTCTTTACTGTTTATGTTCTTTGATGTCATCTTATCTAATGAATTATTACGAATTCTTACGAATTATCTTCTGCATCTCACATACACACACACACACACACAAGCTTATTTAATTTCAACAAACGTTCATTACATTTAATTGCGTCTTGCCGTTGCGTTATTATGATATAAATTTTTATTTAGCATATCACGTTGTATTTAAATAACGTTCTTTTTATAAAATGCCGCTAGAAAATACTTGCATTCGATGCACATAAATGCATTGGCGTCGTAACACTATAAGAGTAATTTCAAATATGGTGTGATGTTTCTTCCTACCAAACATTTCACGTTAAAATGAAAAAAAAAATCAGTAGCGATTTTTACGTTTCTTTTTCTATCGATTTTACTACTTTTTATATTTACACGAACTATTTACATTGCTTCCTTAATATTTATAAAACGTATATTATAGAAAATACTACCTACGTCTTTTTATATAACATGCAACCATGTTTGAAAATTTCGTTATCTAATCGTGCAATTTTCCAAAATAACGACTGAAACCTCTTTTTATTTCTCCCTTTTCTTCGGCATCTTATAATTATCGATAAATAGGCACTTTTTTATACTGTCCCCTGTAGAGAATAATATAACGGTATTATAAGAAATTTTTTACCGATTTGATAAGCACATAACACATAGATTGTATAGGAAAGATTTTGTTGGAAAATTGCGCACTGGCATTTAATCGTTAATTTTAATGGAAATGTTTTCATTTCGCTGCAAATGATTATGTAATTCGATATTTAAGAAGGTAGTTTACACGAACTGGTTTATCGATATCATTATGGTACCAATCATTATATATTATTCTGTAAAATATATACATATTTTATGTTGCAGACAGGTTGTACAGTATGTTTGAGAAAGGCAAAATGTGTATTTACAATGTATTGTTTCAAATTAATATTTACAAATCAAGATCCATTTATTATTTGAATAAAAAATGATACCGAGGATGAAAAAGAGTGAAAATACAAATTTTGCGACTCACAGACATACTCCGAACTTGGTTTATTTTATTTTCTATTTATTGCGCCGCTCTAAAAGGACGTGCTGCTTTCTGTCTAACAAACGACTCAATTCCCCTTTGCAACTTACGTTGTGCGCATGTGGATTACATCATGTCAAAGACGTAATCGAGTCATTTTTGTGCCTTGTGCTGCGCTGACGATTGATGCAGAGCGGCGTATGCACGAGGAAACTCGTACACTGACTAGCGGTTTGGACAACAATAGCAGAGACAATATCTGTGAGTGTATTTTATTTTGTCACATCGAGGGACTCACGCTGATTCCTTTCTTTCCGTATATCTCTGTCCTTTCGAATTTCAAACATTAGTGAGTAACCCAGATCTGAAAGTAATTTTTTGTTTAATTAGCTTTTATCATTATGTTCCTTTTCTCTCGCTTCGTTCCGTTCCGTTCCGTTCCGTTTCGTTTCATTTCGTTTCGTTTCGTTTCGTTTCGTTTGTTTTCCTTTGAAAGTTTTCTCTTATTTTAAATTCCGTTACAAAAACTATTTGTCTACTGTTTTACGATAAAACTTAACACGATGACCGTGCATCTTCGATCTTGTCTTGATCATTCTTGCACTTCAATTGCTTGTTTGAATATATTTAGCATTGTACGAGCATTTGTAATAAAAATCTACGAATGCGTTTATCACGAGCTATTTAGTAGTGGAACACTTGTTACGTGTGTATTGTCGATAGTTTGCAGTTACTCTTGCATATAAATGATACATTCAAGGAAAATACTAATAACATCTTATACCAGCATACATCGTACATTTCCTTTATTTCGATCGTTTTTTCGTTACATTATCGTCTGAGTAGTCCCAAATACGTCTATAGTATGTCCTTTTAGTGCAGCTAAATGATGGCCACCCTTGAAACTTATAACATAAGACACACATTTCTATTTTACAGATGAAGAAGACATTTTGGAGTACCAGTTTCTGCACAAGTGAAGATATTTGTTAATGCAATACGTATACGTAATGGTGGTACTATAGGAGTTGAAAAAAAGGAAATTAAGGTATATTTCCACTTGACTTTGAATTGGGTGGACGGAAGTAGCAAACACGAGACATATATATATTTATACATATATATATATAACAGACGAATTTTGATTAAGCGTCATAGAAAATAAAGAATCTAAACTATATATAATTTGTAATGGCTATACATAAAAGAAGGAAATAGGATTAAGGCCATCAAATTTCCATGTGGTATTTAATATCATTCGAAAACGTGATCTATATATAGATTTCGACAGGAAAACAAGAAATGATGGCGAAAAAGCGTGCTTTTTTAACGCAGGGTGTATGTAGATTGAGAAAAAGGAATTCTCGTTAATTCCATATATGTGTTTTATCGATACTTCTTGTTCTACCTTTGTTTTTTTATTTTGAAATAATCGCGATAATTATGTATCATTTTCGATTGTATATATTTTCACACCGTTTGTCAGTTTAAACAATAATGGATATTTTCAGTTGAGCTTAAAATTTTTCATTTTTGATCTTAAAAGTTTTTGAAAGTAAAAAAATTCTTTTTTTTCTAACTGTTTCATTTGTTCCTTTTTTCAAATATTAATTATCATGTTATAATATGGCTGTATTTTTAATTATACGGGTATATGAACATCAAATTTACGAAATGCAGAATGGAAACTAAGATTTTGGTACTGAGGATGGAACTGAGGTAAAGGAGCAAAAAGTGTCAGTATAATACGAGATAATATTCGCAAAATTCCTGATTTATTAGTACAACTTATGACTGCAAATACGTCTGTAATGAAGTGTTAATTCATGCTATGAAAATTAATTAGTATGAAGCATATTATACAATTGTTGTAAGTATTATCGTTTCACCTGAATTTTACGCTTAAATGAAAAAGAAAAATTGAAACTTTTGTAACTATAAATAACACAGAACACTTTTTATCAATCTTTATATGAAAATATTCTATTGGAGTTTTCGCGTTAATTCAATCAAGCAGCTATAGAATATTTAAAACATAAGTGATGATAATTTCACCATTATTCTTCTAGTTTAAACAAACACCATGCGTCGTTGCATTTTCTTTATGCTAAATAATTGAGAACTCGATGTATGTACGATTTTATTTTTCCATGCTACTTTAACCGATTACTCGTTAAGGGAAGGCAATACGTAAATAAATTGTAAAGATAGGATTATATAATTGGTGAAACACTTTCTCCCCCGATTCTGTGTGTAAGTTTATACGAGTAAGTGTGATGATACTGCATTGTCATGTGCATGCACGAGTCTTCTCCCTCACTATTAGAATTACGAATAAAAATGGACAAAAAAAGAATGGAAGAATATGAAGTAAACCTCGACGAGTCAATATGAATCGAATGAAAGTTTACTCATTGAGACGCATTCGAACGCTATTCCGACTGAAGTATTTTAACGTCATTTAGAGTACCATAGTACAAGGCGACAAGATAGTCAATCGATATCGCATTTACAGACAGATAGTTCATTCCTTGTATTTTTTATCCCTTTGCGAGACAAATGTTTGCGGACTTTTTTATCGAGGCTACGACCGCGTACACGGTGTCGTCGATACTCTATTTGCGATGTTCAACGATTTTTACACTATTTATTATATATTATGCGAAACTAAGAGATTTGTAAAAAGAAGAAAAGAAAGAGGAAACGCGGAGCTGAAGAAAAGAAAGAGTAAGAAAGGAAGTGGCGCATTCATTAGACCGATAAAATAAATGACTTCTTCAATGTGTGTGTTTCGTGGAAACATTGCGAGATGATATGACAGATTATGTATGTCGAGACGATCTTCTCTGCCGCCTTTTTCTGTCGCGAAACTGACTGCGAAAAAAAAAAGGAAACCAAAATGTAATGCGAACGAGTTTATATCCATAGTATACACGATTACGTGGATGTAACGAATGATCACAATGGCTCAGATTATTCCGTAAGATCAGGTAAAGATCTACAGGAAGCGTAAGCTAAAATAGAACGACGAAAGAATTCAATACATGTAGTAGTGTGTGGATATACAGGGAAATAGATTGTAAAGATTTTTATGACTGTCTGAAATTATTATTGTCTTTGGTATTTGTCTTACAATTTCATTCTTAACACATCTCTAAACAGCGCAGCAGTTTGAAACATCTACAAGATACTTCCCTTGTGCGATATACACTTGGATCATCAAGTCGTAGTATCACACGGAAGCGATACTATTCCCTTATTTATTGTTACACAACCTATTTTGTTAGTACGGCTCGTATCCATGATCGATTACGTTGCATGCCCGTAAATCGTTAAACGAGAACTTACAATTACTCCGGTTCATCGTTTCCTTCATCCTATTCTTGATTTCCTAGTAATTTCAACATAAATTGTGTATACTCTACAGCATCAGCTATCATCGAAAGCATGGAACTATAGTTTCGTTAAAATCTTAACGCGAATCTGGCAATAGTCTCTGGAACGTAAAGACTAATTTCAACGATTACACCTACACAGTCTAAACTTCGTTTGCTTCACACAATCGAGCAACGAACAATCTTCTTCTTTTTTTCTTGATCACGTAGCTCTGATTAATTTATTCGATCAACGATCGATGCGATGATGAGTTTGGTAGAAACAGATAAGCACACCATTGGTCACCAAACGGAGCATTTGTTAACTGGATTCATAGGTGCACCCAGCGGGCAATAAAATACTTCTGCGAAATCCTCCGAATTCGATAAGGTGCCGATTACGCGAAACTTGCCAGGTGAATGGACGGCGGTCTTCAACTTATTCCTGGTAGCTTCCGGTCTCATCGAGCCGCACCACACTTGCGCGAAGTTCAGAAAGAACAATTGCTTTCCAGTCGCGTTTAAACCTGGCAGAGTTTCGTCAGCGTCGCCGTTTGCGCGTAACCACCTTTCGTAAGCCTAAATAAAGACAAAACGGTTTAAAGAAGTGTCATATAAAAATCATGACAAAGTTATTAATTATAATTGTTGAAACGATATATAACTTTTGAGAAATTTGCTGATCAATGATTGATGGAAAAGAAAGAATTTTTAAAATGTTAAAAGTCTGTCCACTTGTTAAGAGAATGGAATATAAAAATCAGACGACCGTGACAGGGTTAAATGTTATTAAAGAACTGAAGAAAAGTTCAGAAACAAGCTGTTAAAAAAACTAACAGGAGGAAATTGCTTACTCGAAAAGCTTGTTTAATACCGCCGTTATCCGCGATATTCTCGCCCTGGGTATTCATTCCATCAATCTGCATTCCAACTTCGCTCACGATATAGTGACTGTACTGGTCTGAAACATTTAACAGTTTTCGAGTTAGCGAGCAAAAGTTGGAAGGAAAGTTTAAGAGAATAGATGTTTCGTCGATTACCGATAAGGCATTGAGCTCGTTCGTGAAAGCCATAAATAGCCTCGTCTTTCCACCATCTATGTAGATTACCATCCTTATCGAATAATCGACCTTTATCGTCGAAGCCGTGGGTGATCTCATGGCCAATCACAACGCCGATCCCACCGTAATTTAAACTCCGTGGAAAGTATCTGTGATAAAAGGGCGGCTGTAGTATTCCAGCTGGAAACACTGAGAGTGGAAAGTAATTCAATAATTAGTCGATATTCTTTTTTATCTTATGCAAAAGAAAAGAAAAATCGTAGTATAAAATTGTGGAAAAGTTTGTAGACCTTCCCGTTTCTTTTGTTCGCGCAATATAAAAAGAATTATACTGACTTATCCTATTTTTGCTGCGACTATAGTAAGCATTGACCACTGCAGGCGCAGTGTTCCACAGGGTCTTATTGACAGGGCTGCCAAGTCGATCCTGTTCTACCCTGGTCAAATGTTGCAAGATGTTCAACGTGTTCTCGAAGTACTTATCTGGACGGATCACGACCTGAAAGTTCACCAGAAATTAATTTAATTAACGAATGTGTCCATTGTATTCAATCAAATCTCAAAAAGAGCCAGATCCGTGATTCTTACATCTTTGTAACGTTCGTTCAACAACTCAGACTGTAGAATGAAATCAGGATAGCCGATCCTTAACAGCATTGCGTTTACCTTCTCGGTGGCCAGTTCTTTTGTTTCGTCATCGATCCAAGTAGTTTGATTTAGGAGTTCTCTGAAGGACCGTTGTATATCACGAGTCATGGCCAATGTCTGCAGAAAGAGGTACGAGAATAACGAGAATGTCGAAGCTCAATTATGACGAATTATAATTTATATTCTAATGAGGAGAAAACACATTTTCATTTATCCGATTCTTTATTAAAATAACTATAAGATTGATGAAAGCCATCAGAAATAATAGAATATTTCAAGGCGCAATATAAAAGTGGTATGGAACGAAAGAGACAATAAATAAACAAATAATTAGTCAAAAAAATAAATTTACAAAATTAGTGAATGTTCATTAATGAAAATAGGAAGAGTTCTTACATCGTTTTTGCTTTTTTCGTCGAAATATTTTTTCACGAACATGGAGCCCACAGCCATGCCCATGTTAGAGTTCACTTGTGCCACACAATTTTTCCATCTGGACGGTGCTTGTTCCCTTCCAAACAGAATATAATAAAATTTTTGCTTAGCTTCCTGAAATCGATCGTCCAGATTGTTTACTCTGTGCCTGACGAACCGCCATAGAAGATAATTCGCGATAGTCCTGCAAAGAAAAGGTACTCAAAAATAAGAAATTTCAAATTTTCCAAACTTCTCAAATATCTCCTCAAAAATCAAACTTATGAAACAGTGTCTACTTTTTACTATTGTATTTTACACGAAAGATTGTACCGTGGACTAGTTTTCGAGAGCAAATTCACCAAATCTTGAATATACTGCAACGCATAGACAACGACCGGCTCGGAGACATTCGTTGGTCGTGCCAGAACGATCGTTAAATATCGATGCCAGTTAATTTGTGGCACCAGTGTCCTTAATTCTCCGATGCTCATTCTTTGATATAACTCTGAAACGTTTCTTCGCTCGTCAGGGGAAGACGTGATCTGTGAAACCCGAAATTAGTCGTTCAATAGCGGACATAATAGAAATAAGTCAGAAAATTATAGAAATTATAATTGACTTACCTTGGCGAGCTTAGTTTCGAATTCTATCAATTCGTCAGCGTCTATAGTAGCGTTTTGCAAAGATGCGCCCAAGAGAGTGGAAATTTTTATTAAATAATTTTTGTAAGCTTTTAAGTAAATGGTATTCGATGGCTGGAGAAAGTAGTCTCTTGTAGGTAGACCCAATGATGTCTGATCGAACTGCAATTAAACTTTTCGTAAATTTGATATTTTTGCTTCTCCATTATGTGGAAGTCAAAGAGAAGTATTTTTTAATAACATTCACTACGAAAATAGTTTTCGCGAGGAACCGTGTAAAATTATTAAAAGATTTGATATATTATATTAATTTCATGAAACATTCGGTGAGCTACAAAATGAAGTTGTCGAAATTATCTCGAAGTTGTCGAAAAATTCCGAGTTTCTACCTGTATAACGTACTGGTCGCTGTTTTTAATGTCCGGCGCCACCCATTCCGAAATGAGAATGTCATTATTATAAAGCCTCAATTGTGCAACCAAGAGGAGCCAATCGAACTTTTCCGGATCCCAATTTGGTCTCAATATGGGCCATCCACCAAGTTCATCTAGAAGCTGTATAAGCGGCCGTTCCATGCGTTGCTCCAAGATCTCTAGCCACATGTATCGTGTTAAAATTGGCAACCACTTACAGAGATCTCTGAAGAAACCCAATCGAAAAACAATTTACCGTAGTTCATGCAACTGCGATACAAATATTTAGCCTTGAGCGTCGCGTCATCCGTGTACAATTGCAATCCTTTCGGTATAGGATCTTCGAGAAGCTCTTTCAACACAGAGTCCAACGATTCTCTGATCATTTCGAAGGTATCGTAGGCAGCTTTGTCTTTAGGGATAGGATTATGTTTCGCCCAATTGCCACAGGCAAACTGATAAAAGTCCTCGCAAGGATCAGCGCTCCTGTCCATGTACTTCAGCATGATTTTTGCTGCGGCGAATATCTGTTTCTTAAAAAGCGTATGAGCAGCAATTATGCAAAGTAATTAGAGAGACTACGTCACAAGTGTACCTTGAGCTTCTCTGATGGCCCACGCGTTTCCCTCGCCTTTCCAAAACGCGTGGAAATCCGTGCCAGTGTCGTCGTCGTTTTGGTCGTCGACGATTGGCAGACTGGTGTCCGAATCGTCGATGGAAATCGAGTGTCTACCACCTTGTTCACCCTCGTCTGATTCGTCCTGAGAACGCTCTTCGATATTGTCGTACGTGAAGAACTTGGAGCGCAGTTCTTCGTTCTTACGCGCGTCGTGCGTATGCTCGCCGTACCTGAAGAAGATAATTTCTGAACAGAGCTGATTGCGGGTGTTATAAGTTCGAAGGCGTATCACCGGCGAAATTTTTGATATAGCAGAACTCTATTTATTTGATTTATTTAAACGAAATTTCAGTTTGTGTCCGATAGAATGAAGTTTTGCTGATCGAATTCATTTATTCGAACGTAAATTTTTAATATGGACGAAAAATCATAAGATCCTCATAGAGAGGATCGCTAGATACGAGCTTCGATCATATAAAATATTTGTTCTCCGATAGGTTCGTGTAAACGAAATTCAACTATAATTTAAGTAGAAATAATAAATGGAATTTGATTAATAGACTGCGGATATTTATGTAAATCTATATTTTTACGAATACAATTACAGCAGTGGAGCTTCATCTACTAAACATATATTACTATAATGAACATTGTACTTTAGATGTTGTATATATTTGCATATTCTGCGAATCTTTGCATGTTTAAATTTCTCATTAATGCATAAATATTCCGCAGTCTATCGAGTAGTATTTGGATAATTACTCTCGATAGTCGTTGCTTTGTATTTCAGAGTTTTCCTTGACCTCATCGGCGTCCACCTCGGTGTAATAATCGTCCAGGAAGTTGTAGATGTCTTCGTCGGAATTTTGATCGTCTGCTTTCTCAACTTTGTAGTCTATCGGTTGATCCTGTATCGAATATTCGCACAAAAATGATATTTTTACGGTGCTTTTTAAAATAGAAAATTGAGTAGTTGGAAGGTGAATCGATATCTGTGTATGTAGCGTAGGTATCGTGTCTTTATATCTCAGAGTTGTTTCGGCCATGAAGTAAAAGACATGTCGAATTTAATTGACCTTGTACGAAACGAGATGATTGGCAGTGAGACGATCGATATTTATACTGTTCACCAGTAACGCTAATTTAATGTTGATTAACTCTAATTAACGTCGCTGCGCACGACACGTTATCCAAAGTGGCTCGTCTTCTTCTCGAACATTGTCGCTTAACTTATTATCGAAGACACCTTTGTCAACTCTTTATAAGGCTGTCAAAATTTTCATAATTCGATAGACTGATACAAAACACAGATACAATCGTATGACTATTAATTCTCATTAGCAACTTCCACTTTACTCTACTGCGTTCTTTTGCAATGAAACGTCAACCCTCTGCAATCTTTTTTCACTTCGCATACGTCTACATCGTTACAAAAATATTCGATTATAAAAGAATTACGCTTGCAAGGTTGCAAAGGATTGAACAGCGCGAATCCGCTCGCCTAGAACGAGCGAAAAAATGCGAGAGAAAACCATCGTTATTTCTTGAAGAGACTCAGATCATTGCACACAAGTGTCTAACGTCTCGCGATTCTCGATATCGATATCAGATCTGGACAAGCCGTTGTCCGTTTGCCAATCTGCTTATCCTCGTATCGCGTCGATTCGAATATAAAATTCCGAAGAACGCAACGTTGAATAGCTCGAGCGTGGAGGATGCTCGAAAATCCTGACGTCCTTCGTTCTTTCTTCGGGACTATTTGTCGTCAATCGATCGATATTATACTGCACGTTCGTAGCTGATGATCGTAGATCGGCAAAGGCGAACGGATGTTGTATATTTTTTGTTTTTACATGTGTTTTTTTTTTTTAAAGAGAATGGAAAATAACAAAGAAGAAATAAATAAGACGAGGAAGAAAAGTGGTATTGGTTAGAATCGCTTTGAATTTGATTTGCTTTGGATAAAGTACCGCGTCTAGGTCTCTCTTGTGTCGTTGTAGCTGCCTTGACGAAAGTAGAGTCTCCACTGGCACGTAGCTTGTTTTCATTCCAGGTGCTAGGATTTTGTCTTCTTCCTCTTCTTCACCGGCCCTCTCTGTCTCGCTGCGGCTGGTCGCTGCTAACAGTTTCTATAAATAATATACTTCTCCTTTCTTCTATGTCGCTTTATATTTATATTTGAAACTTTTATAACATTTCTAAAAATATCCTTTTTCTTTCTGTTAGATATAATTTCCATCATGGAGATTGTACAATTTTAAAGTAAAAGTCGAATCATCTCCCTGCCCGTAACCTATATTCAACGTCGTCTCCTGTGACGAGAGTTCATTACCAATATACCTATGTAATCTTAGAACGGATTACATGTGCAACATGGTAGGACAGGAAAACGATTAAACTCGAATATTCTTCCTGCGAGAACAGCCTTGGGACAACTTACTCTAACGACTTGTAAGAAGCCTCAAGAACAATTTCAACTACACCGACCCCCCATCGCAAGATCCGCTTGAATTATTTTCTTCTGACAACGATCGATAAATCACGCCACACATCTCGCACTCTATTTCGCTATTCAGATGTACACGAGTAGCCAACAGACCGGACGTCGTTAATATCGAGTGCATTTTACGAGCGTGTCGTTATGTGTACCGTGGCAATAGACTTACGCGGAAAACTCTCCTCGGTCCTCTCGTCCTGCCTCCTTGTCTGGACCAAATACGTACGATGATAAGGAGCCTTGCCGATCACCTGCGACCGCGACAGAGCGATGAAGATTATAGTGATCGGCAGTAACACGGCTGGAATCAAGAGCATCAGTTTCACTCGGAAGCGCCAAGTGTCGTTTCCGCCCATGCACCACCTGTAGTTTCAAATATCGTGTTCCCCAATTGCCGATTCTAACTAATCGATCGATACTTTTGATAGTCATTAGCTAATTTTGGACATCTTACGAACTTTAGTCGACCAGTCTCCTTGTTAATGGCTAACCGACAAGAAGGACAAGGCCCACCGCTGAAGAAGTCGTCGTCGTTATACTGATCCAAACTACTCGCGCTCCTCATCTTGTCTGAAAGCAAGTCGACCCCTTCTTCTCAGTCCAGTTGATCTACCTATTCTACTTCATCGTACCACATTGCGCAGTCATAAATCGCATTCGCGTATCGCGCGTTTCACCGCGCAAGATCGAATCTTTGCCCTTAACTCACTGTACCCCTAGTTTCCCTGCGATTTTACATTTCTTTTATTTTATACTTTATACTTTGCCAAGTCGAAGGACACCCGAATCGACATCTGTTTGGGGACACTCGCGTTTTAGTTAAGGTAAAGGCGATCGAGAAGAAACTTTCAAACAAATTTTCGATCGAAACGGAGATCGAAACTGTTTTCAGGATGGTGGCACCGTGCGTCCGTGAAGAAGAGGACTGACTGAAGCTGGTGCGAAGCTTCGATCTCGACACGAATGTTAATGTAACGTTGCGCGTACGGTCAAATTAGTCTTAGCGACATTCGTACGGGAGTAATTTCCATATGTAACGTCGGCGGTCAACGCCAATAGCGAGGGCAACAACAATCGAGGCGGAGCTCTGTACGTGCACGCACACCGCGAGAGGCATTTTACGCGCTCCTTACGTCCAGTTACTCGTCAATCGACCCTAATAACTTGCAGTTATCGTTCAATAACGCGTCGCGCTGTTTTACATTCTACACGTGACCTGGCCGTTATTAAGTTTTTTCTCATCGCCAACACTGATTGCCATTTTAAGATGAACGTAGGAACTTCAAAAGACGAATGGGACAATCGGTAGTTCCGATTTTTCTTCCGTTACGCATCGCGCCAATTGTCACTACCATATAAAACGCGTTTCAAGTTCTTGTCCGTGAAGATACCAGAGATATCACTATTTGTTCAAATACGGTGAAATTGTAGGTGGACAACATTGAGTCGTCATGGGATAAAAAGCAAAATTTTGATGGAAATATTACAAGTTGATCGACTATTACGTTGTAAAATTTTCGTTACTTTTTGTTACTTTGTCCTTCTCTTTCTTATCCAATTTTAATTTTGTCCGTGACGAGTAAAACGTTCGAAGTATCACAGAGGTGACCACGATCTATATTGATCATTTCGTAAAATTTAAACTATAAATTTTTCTTGCTACGATTTACAAATTAACTCACTATAGATTTGTGATTTTCTTCTATTAATACATTCTTCATGGTTAGATAAGAAATTCCAATATACTATATTGCAGCCATAAATTTCGTTTTCTTCGGCGGTCATTATCGTGGTTGCTTGCCGGCTTTGACGAACGTACGAAACTTAAAAAAGAAGATACGATTGATAAAATCTGTAGTTGAATCACTAGAATGATATTATTTCATCATTTTTTCGATAACGAGACGGATTAACCAAAGATTCCGAGTAGAAGTGGGAAAAACATTCTTTTATTTCTAATTTCAGCTTGCTTCTTTCAACCAATCTTTCTTTGTTTGATGATTGCACAGAAAATGATTTCGTTATACTTATATTGGTGAATTTAGCGAAGATAAGAATCGAGATCGATCAATTATCGAGACTTATCGATCAATATAAAGGAGAAAAAAAATCTTTAAAGAGATTTTGTACGATGTTTATTTTATATTCAATCGATAACAACTATATTAAAATGTCCAAATATAATTTCCTTTTTTTGTTAATAAATTACTATGTACAATACTATATACTCGCGTCCGCGATCTGTTTTTGTGTCTCGTTGTTTCCTCGATAATGATCCATTTTTACTTCTTGATTTAAACTATAGTATGATGGACCACAATATGAGATTACAGCGCTACCTAGACACTCTTCTCCATTATATAAGGTGACAAACTGAAATAAATACGATAAATGTTAAATATTATTGAACACTATTATATGATAATTAAAAAAGGATCATGTATAAGAAACTCTACCTGTCCCTCTGTAATTGCTCTTAATGGTTGACTAAGCTGTATTATTAACTGATTCTTTAAATTTTTATGAACTGTGCAAGATACCAAGGGATCTCTATGTTGAAAGCGCAAATCGCAATTTAATAGTCCAGAGAAACTATTAAATTCTGGCTCTGATGATATCCAGTACGGAGTTTTTGTTATTATAAGTTCTGAATATAGCGCTGAATTGTGTGTTCCTTTTACCTATTGATATTAATATATACATCAACATCTAATCTAAGTAAAAAATATAATCAACACATAAAATTTTTTCTACATACTACAATGATGTTATTTGTGTTAATATCTTTCTTATACACATAGTATGCAGCTGGTAAACCACTAATTTTTATATTTTGCCCTATGGTCCAATGATGAAAGCCCATATGCTTTCCCACTACCCGACCATCATCCAAGTCTACAAAGTCTCCAGGTTTGTCAGATATGTACTATAAATATTATTTAGTTATTAATACAAAAATGGAATAATAGCATACATTGAACTTATCATGCTGTACCTTGGATATGAAATTTTGAAAATTTCGTTTTCCCACAAAACATATCCCTCTGCTTTCCCTTTTTAGAGCAACTTTGTCCAATCCAGCCTTCCAAGCAATTTGTTTAACGTCTTTCTTCAAATATTCTCCAAGGGGAAACATGGAGTATCTTAAAGCTTGTTGAGGTACTTGGCACAAGAAAAATGTTTGATCTTTTTCTGCATCTCGAGCTTGAAATAAGCTGACATCTAGTAAAATAGTCAAACTAATAGGATTTGATTATATGATTAAAGCAAACGTTTAAGAATAACATTAAGAAAATTATATTTACTTGTATCTGGCTTAAAATGTTCAAGGTAAGAACCAAAACTGGTTCTGACATAGTGTCCAGTTGCAATAGCATCAGCCTGAAGTTTATTACATGCAAAGTTGAAGAAATGATCGAATTTGATGTACTTGTTACACAAAATATCAGGATTTGGTGTATATCCATTCTCATATTGTTCTATTAAATAGCTATAAAAGTTAATAAAGATAAAATATTAATTAAAAAGATATACAAATATGCATATACATACGAAAAGATATTATTCCAATATTCTTTGGAAAAATTGGCTTCAACAAGAGGAATATCTAATTTTTTGCACACCCATTGTGCATCTTCGTAATCCTCCTCAGTCTGACAAATACCAGTCTCATCTTTGATGTCCCAATTTTTCATGAATACACCGGTGACATTGAATCCTTTAACAGTGCTAATCTTAACACTTTCATGGTACTAAATTATCATTCGATACTAGACATTTTTATTCTCTTGAATTACCTTTATTTTTTAGAAGCAGTGCTGATACAGCGCTATCAACCCCACCAGATATACCCACAATTACTTTTTTAAACATTTTCTAAGTATCCTAAACTTTGTTTTATTATATATTAAACTTTTAGTATCCTAAACGTTTTTTTCTTCTCCTCAGTTTTATATTATTCCATCTTTATTCACATGTACCGTTAAGGAACCTATTAAATTGACACATAAAACATTACATGTAAGACATTGAAGATAAATACATGTGTTCATTTCGCTCAGTATCTATATTACAACAATACAAATATTTTCGAACCAACAACATGCAGAAAATTATTGAAAAAAAATTTCTAAACAATTACAAAAGAAATATATAAAGAATATGATAAGAAACGGCTTTTAAACGTAGAACTATGCTCAATCGGTTTAACGTGTTGAGAACACATTATAAGATCAAGATTGTACATTTAAAATAACTCAATGTTCGAATTTATCCTAACTCGAATATTCATTTAACATTAATCACATGTGTATCGATTACCACGTCTGAACGGCCAGCATAGTACATTATTCGCCAAAGAATTTGGAAATTTACAAATAATAAAGGTTAAAGAAGTACCGAATCAATCACGTGGTACATGTATACGTATCGAACAGATTGCGTTTTGCGTGTGTAACGAATGAGCGGCTGTGCTCAGCGTCTAACGCGTTTAAACAATATCGAATAATTCGACGAAGAGATAATCAACCAGACTGAATTTGTAATAAAACACAGAACGTGATTTTTCCACGTGCACGTTGTGTATATTGGAGGAATATCGTTTAGACGCTTCCTGTGTGATTAGCAGGTTTCGAGGCTCGCGCGTAGGTCGATGCCCGAAAATCGTCGGCCAATCGACGCACGGCTCTCTCGTCGGGAACCAGTCAAGCACGTTGACAGATATGCAACGGCTGGTCGCAGGAGCTTGCATATTTCGAATGGCATTTTATTGTGTGGATAACAACGTACCGCGTGCTAGTTCAGTCTATTGGATTAGACGAAATTCTCGAGACGATAGGCCAGTTTTCGAAGAAATGCGCGATTTCGGTGCAAGTGCAACCCATTTTGCGCAGTTTCCATGACCCAGATTACGATGGGGAGTTCGCTCGCCTTTCGGAACAGCTGTTGGCCGCACGAAGATGTCGGCCGCGGGGAAACGCTTGGATATTTCGTGGACTGCGCGCGCCTCTT